TTCTTTTTGAAGTGAATCTCCTAATTGCTAAATTTAATAGCCTTCTCTCAATGCTTATCTTCTCTGCAGCATTTGACACTATTGACCAGTCTCTCCTTCTGGATGCTTTCTCCCTGGGTTTTTGGAATTTGCCGTTCAGTCGTTTCAGTCGTGTCCAATTCTTTGTGACCTGATTTGGGGTTTTCTTGATAAAGATACCGCAGCAGTTTGCCATTTCCTTCTCCAGTTCATTTGACAGATGAGGAAACTGAGGCAAACAGGGGTAAGTGACTTGCCCTGGGCCACACAGCTAGGAAGTGTCTGAGGCCAGATTTGAACTCAGGTCTTCCTGACTCCAGGCCAGGTGCTTTCTCCACTGCACCACCTAGCTGCCCTGGATTTTGGGATACTGTACTCTTTTCTGTCCGACCATTCCTTTTCTATCACTCTTGCTGGGTCATCAACCCAACTGCAATTTCTGTCGGTGTTACTCAAGATTCTATCCTGGGATCTCTTCTATCCTCTCTCTATACTCCATCTCTTGGTGAACTAGTCAGCTTCCATGGAGTTAATATCACTACACATGTTTCCCAGTTCTATCTGTCTAGGCCTTGGTTTCTTCCTGTGTTCCAGTCTCATGTCACCAAATCGCTAGACAGGGATGGCAAACCTGCAGCCTCGAGGTCACGTGTGGCCTTCTAGGTCCTCAAATGTGGCCCTTTGACTGAATCCAAACTTCAGTTTATGTTGCCTCAAGGTCCCAGGTTCCTCACCCCCGGGCTAGTAGATATTTTGAATTAGATACCAAATAGGCATCCTAAGCTTAACATGACAAACCAGAACCTGTTATCTTTCCCCCCAAATCTACTCTTTTGAACTTCCCTATTTATATAAAGGGTAGGACCACCCTTCTATTCACCCAAGTTCAGAACCTCAAAAGTAATCCTCAACTCTGCCTTTTCCCTCAATCCATATATATAATCAGTCACCAAGTCTTGCTGCTATTTCCACAACATCTCTTGCACCTGTTTCTTCTCTCCATTCACAAGGCCACCCTTCTCGCTCAGGCTCTTATTATATCCTTCCTGGACTGTGATAATAGCTTCCTAATTGGTCTCCCTGCTGCAAATCTCTCCCCTTTCCAATCATCCAGCTATTGAAGTGGTTTTCTTAAAGCACTGGTTTGACCACATTGCTCCACTACTCAACAAACTCCTGGGATCAAATACAAAACGCCCGTATCATTTAAAATTCTTTATAACCTGGGCTCAACCTGTCTTTTTAGACTTATTTATATATTACTCAGTTCAACCAAAGTGGTATTCTTCCCATTCCTAACACATAGCACTCCATCTCCTGTCTCAATGACTTTGCACAAGCAAAACAACAATGACAACAACAAGAAGAACAATACAAACACAACTGGGTTCCATGCCTGGAACCTACTCCCTCCTCACCTCACATCTCTAGTATTCTTCCAACCTTATCCTAACCCTCTACACTCACCTTCCATTCAAGGTCTTTCCTGATTCTATCAGCTGCTAGTACTTGCTTTCCTTGCATTACCTCATCCTACGATGTCCAGAACAACGGAAAAGGGGCAACATGGAATAACAGAATGTGTGTTATATGTGGAATCAGTCCCAACACTTACTCAATGTGTGACCATAGGCAAGTTATTTAACCCTTCTCTAAGTCTCAATTTCCTTATCTGAAAAAAATCGGGATAGTAATTATAGTATCTACCTAATAACCTCACAAAGTTGTTTTAGGACCATGAGATCCAATGCAGTAGATAATGCGTTGTCTTCTTTTCTCATAAAATCTAAAATTACATGTAAAAGCCAATTATGATAGATGGATGGATAGATAGATAGACTGACAGACAGAGATGGAGAGATGTACAGGAGAGAAAGACAGACAGTGACAAAGAAAGAGAACGTGATAGTAGGTGGGCAGGTGGTCTAGTGAATAGAATGATGGATTGAGATCCAGGAAGTGGTTGTTCAGTCACGTCCAACTCTTTGTGATCCAAATTGGGGTTTTCTTGGAAAAGATTGTAGAATGGTTTGTCATTTCCTCCTCCAGCTCATTTTACAGATGAGGAAACCAAAGCGAAGAGGGGTAAGTGACTTGCCCAGGGTTACACAGCTAGGAAGTCTCTGAGGTCAGATTTGAACTCAGGAAGATGCATTTTCCTAACTCTAGAGCCGGAACTCTATCCACTGTGCCACCTAACTGCCCCAGAGTTAGGGGACCTGAATTTAAATCCTACCTCAAACATTTTCTAACTGTGTGACCCTGAACAATTCACTTGACCTCTCCGCATATCAGTCTTCCCAAGATGGGGATATTAAGAATGCCTCCTTCACAGTGTTTTTGTGAGGAATGTATTAAGTAAAATAAATAAAATGTGAAGTATTTTGTAAATTTTCCCATAACAGAGCATAATAAAAATGATGATTGCACATGAAACTGCAAATCTATTACGTACAACTTACTATTCCTTTTAAATATATAATAAAGTTATCATATAAATTTATTTTTTTCTTCCCTCCTCCACCTTAGAGATGGACACTTTTAGACACACACACACATGCATATGTACATTAACATACATATGTGTGTATGTATATATTTATAAATCATTCTATACATACTTGTATAACTGGGGAACGGTCGAACAAGTTGTGGTATATGATCTGATGGAATACTACTGTGCTATAAGAAACGATGAGCTTGATGATCTTAGAAAAACTTGGAAAGAGTTTCTAACACAATAATGAAGAGTGAAGTGAGCAGAACCAAAGAAACACTGTATACAGCAAGAGCAATATTGTTTTAAGAAAAACCTTGAGCAACAAAGTTATTTTGACTATTATAAATACCCAAATTAACTACAAAGGACCTATGAGGGAAGATACTACCTACATCCAGAGAAACAACTGATAAATAGAAATATTTTACAAGTTGTAAGCCCTATATAAATGTTAACTATTTGTGTACATGTGTATATATATATGCATATGTATATATGTGCATGTATGTGGGTATATAGCTATAGATACACACACACACACACAAACACAGTGGCTCAATGGAGTCAGAAGGACCTGAGTTCAAATTTGGCCTTAGACACTTACTAGTTGTGTGACCCTGGGCAAGTCACTTAACTTCTGGTTTGCCTCAGTTCCTCATTTGTAAAATTAACTGAAAGAAGAAATGGCAAACCACTCCAGTAACTTTGTCAAGAAAACTCCAAATGGGGTCAGGGAGAGTCAGACATGACTGAAAAACTACTCAACAACAACTCTCTCTACCCCCCACACATATATATGTAAAAATATATGTGTGTATATATGTGTGAACATCTACAATGTAGCAATGAAAGCTATGCACACATGTATATAACATGTTTATGCTACAGCCACACCTATAAACATAACACATATGCTACATGTGCACAATACCTGTATATGCTATGTGTATAACATGTACACATATGTCTATGTGTGCATGTATATGCTTAAACACGTAAAGAGATAGGGGACCTGCTACTTCACAAGGCAGCCTCTCATATTTTATATAACTCTTAACTATTTGTGTGCATGTGTTTATGCACACATGTATATACATAAACACTCATATACATATGTGTTTACAATGTATCTTTGTATACACATAGATGTATGCACATATTCACATACAAATAGCTGACATCCACATAAGCTATGAGAGGCTGCCTAGTCAGGATGCAAGCGCCCCCTCTCCTTAGGTGTTTAAGCGGAGGTTGCATGACCATCTGTCAGGTTTTTAACAGAGGAGATCCCGGCATGGGGTGGGAGACTGGACTAGATGACCTTGCCCTTTCTCCAGTTTGGGCATTCCATGGCCCTCTCTGATTCTTGGTGAGTTCTAGAAAGCCCTTTCTGTCGGGTCCACTGAAGGAGGTGTCTTGATGTTAGCCTGAACTGCAGCAGCACGTGTGGCTTCAACCTTACTCATCATCATTTCAGCCTCCATAACGTGATCCTGGCAGAAACTCTGAATAGGAGGCCACACCAGGGCCAGGGGAACTGGCTTCTTGGGGTACACAAAGTGTGAAGGGTGACGGGAGACTGGGCCTTCTTCAGACAGTGATGGATCTGCCTGGACCACGAATGGGTTAGGACTCAGTTTGGTTTATGATTGTTTTCATTTTCCATGGCATTTGTTGGACCTTCGATCTGGCCTGCATTTTTTCTGATAGATTTCTTTCCGCTGGCCAGTTGGGGAAAGCAGATGCTGCAGGTCAGGCCAGCGGCAATCAATTTGGGGAAAATAACTCTTAGTGACTGAGGAAGAAAGCCATAAAATACAAAGGAGGCAGGGATGGAAGAAAACAATAGCAGCCTGACAATGGATGAGATTACTGCCAAACGCCAGACCCTGCCCCTATAGATCATTGCTGGAGCCAACGGGTCCACTCAGTGATGTTACCATTCATAGGGTGTGCTCCCTCGGGCTGAGAAAGGAGCACCGTGAGTGTGGGAGCCCTTGTATGATGCCCCATAGCTCTGCCTTCTCTTCTTCCCCCTTCTACTGTCCAGCCCTGTGATTTTATCGGTGTGGGGGCATGCCCTCTGAACTGAAGTTCTCATGAGGTGGTTGTCAGCCACAGCAGAAAACAGAGATCCTACAAATCCAATGCTGGGCTTGAACCCTAGTCTTTTTTATCCAGTCCATCATGATTCCTCTCTCTCTTAATTTTCTCTTGCACAAACTCCTGGCTCTCACCTGCAACCTCGAAGAGCTTCAGCCGCCAACTACAAACCAGAGTGGCCCCATCCATTCCACCCCTTCCTCGCTGTCTCAGCTTATTCAAGCTCATTTAGTCACCCAGCTCTCACACAGCTGCTGGGGGGGGGGGGGGGGGAGCTATCCCCAAGCTACATCTGAATTGTTTTGGTCTTGTTCTAAGCCCCTCAGGCCTAAGGCTCCATTTGGTATCAAGTTTTGGCTGGGCAGGGGCTGGGACTCACCAAAGTTTTCTCCACCCCAGATGTCCATCGCTGCATCATACTTCCCCAGGTGATTAAACCAGGATTTGTTCATTACAAATAGCCCTCCGGAAATTATTGGGGTCCTACACATCAGGAAAAGGGAAAGGAGAGTAAGTAAAAAGAAGGCAGATGCTCTGAGAATCTCTTTTCTTCAGCACCCAGAGACCAAGGCCAGTGTCCTCGTCCTTTCTGTTCCTCTTGCAGAAGGACCAATAAATTTCCACTTTACCTGGAACAAGGACATGCACCTCAACAGGTAGCACTGCCTGGGCATTGTGCTGTCGCTCATAAATTTCATAAATTTACACCCATCAGTATGCCTCCTCCCCAAGGCCCAGGGTTCATGGCATTGACCGCAGGCTTCCAAACAGAGATGAACTTGGCACTCGGAGAAAATTTAGACATCCTCTCATGAGGATCCTGCCTTAGAAAACTCTCTTAGGAATCATATCAGTAAAGGGATAAGATGCCTGGTTACTTCAAGGAGAAGAAAACAAAAGGCTTAGGAAAGCTGCTTTATTAACTAATCGTTAATGGGAAACAGCATCTTCGTGACGCATCTCTCTGATCCTCCATAGCTCTCTTTTATTCTGGTCCGTTGAAATAATTGTAAAGTGCTTAGCACAGTGCGTGGCACATAGTAAGTATTATATAAATGTTAGCTATCATTATTATTTATTTTTCTTTCTTTCTTGACTGCCCAATAGTGGTGATGGAAGAACCATGCAGGCAGGAGGAAGGATCACAGGATTTAGAGCCAGAAAACCAATCTGGTCCAACTCCTTCAGTTTATAAACGAGGAAGCTGAGACTCCGAGAGATAAACTGACTTTTAGGATGCTGATAATCTGAAGGGAAGGCAATCAGGCAATTAGGATGGAAAATGGCCTTGAGTCCATTTATGTGATGACTGGTTGAAGTAAGGAAGGAAACCAGCACTTATTAAGCACCTTCTATGTGCCAGGCACTGGGCTAATTATTTTACAAATATTATCTCATTTGATCCTCACAACACCCCTGCAATGTAGGTGCTCTTATTATCCCCATTTTATAGCTGAAAAAACTAAGACAGTGACTTGTTCAGGGTAGTATGTGTCTGAGGCCACATCTGAACTCAAGCCTTCCTGATTCCAGGCCCAGTGTTCTATCCACTGTGCCACCAGCTGCCTTTGAAGGAATTGCGGATGTATGAAATGGAGAAGAGGGGACACTGTGGAGATAAGTACCTGAAGGATACTTGAATGGAAGGTGGATGTAAGGGAAAATGATATTACAACTAGAGCTATCCCCTGAGTTGTCCCAGGAGGTACCAAGTTTCCCCTCACTGGAGGTTTTCAGAGCCAAAGCCAAAAGGCTACTTTTCAGGTGTGTTGTGGGAGGGATTCTGTTGAAGGGTATGTGGATGGACTAGCTGGGGTTCCTTCCAACTCTGAAATTCCATGTTTCTGTGATTTGCCTGAGATTACCCAGTTGATAAGTAGCAGAATTAGGATTCAAATCCAGGTCCTCTGAATCCAAATCCAAGGAGTTAGAGAAGCTTGAGGAAGAACAGAGAGCACCATGGGACCAAAAACTGCTTTCTGTTGAGTGTAGCCAAAACTTTGTTCTGAGAATCAGAGAACACTAGGGCTGGGAGGGAGAGTAGGACTCATCTGGTTCAATCTCCTAAATGTCCATGTAAAGCCTAAAGGTGGTAAGTGACATACTCTGGGTCTCCCAATTAGTCACTGTGTGACTGAGAATAAAACTCAGGTCTCGTGTCTTCTAATCTGGTAGATGGTGTACTGTACCTAGAGTCAGGAAGACTGAGTTCAAATCCAGCCTCTGATGTTTACCATAAGTTGTCCCTGGGCAAGTCACTAATTTCTACAAGAGGAAGCTGGTGGCACAGGATAGAGAGAGAGAGAGAGACAGAGACAGACACAGAGACAGAGACAGAGACAGAGAAAGACACAGAGAGAGACAGAGACAGAGAGAGAGAGACAGAAAGACAGAGAGACAGAGACGGAGCCAGAGAAAGAGACAGACAGACAGAGAGAAAGAGACAGAGAGAGACACACAGAGACAGAGCCAGAGAGAGAGAGACAGAGACAGACTCAGAGAAAGAGAGACAGAAAGAAAGAGACAGACAGAGACACAGAGAGAGACAGAGATGGAGAAAGAGACAGAGAAACACAAGGACAGAGAGACAGAGAGAGAGACGGGGAGAGAGAGAGCGCTACAAGAAAGACCTAGTTCAAATCCACTCTTAGTCACTTACTAGTTGTGAGACCCTGGGCAAGTCACAATCTCTGACTGTTTCAGTTTCCTCAACTGAAAAATGGGGATAATAATAATGTCTACCTTGTATGGTTGTTTTAAGGATCAAATAAGATGATAATTGTAAAAGCATTTAGCACAGTGCCTGGCACATAGTGGTGCTACTCTTAGACATTAGGGACATCCTGTATAAATATCAGTGATCCCAATTCTGCAAGGGGATTGACTGGGTTTTTCCTAAGCCTGACCCCTTCCCATTGAGTTCTGTTTCTCTGATTAGCAAAATGATTCCAGGGAGAGGTCAGTTTCACAGAGGGAGCAAGAAATATTTGCCTTTAAGAAAGAGCAGAGGTAGATAGGCTGCTGGGTTTGTCCTTGACTTTGTAATGATCATCCTTCTGGAATGTCTAGATGGATAGCTTGCAAATTTTTTTCACCTATTCCCTTCCCCCTACAAGATCCTTCTACTCCTATGGCCCATGTCAATCAGTGATTGATTAATTATGCATTTATTGAGAATATCCCCTGTGCTCAGCAGAGTGAAGGCCAATGTGCCATCATCCCTCAATAGTTAGGTGATAGATGGAGAGAAAGATAGAAACAGATAGGGATAAATGAATGAGTTAATGAGTTAGAGATAAATAGATAATAAATAGATAAATGAATACGTACATACACACACACACACACACACATACACACACACACATCTGCCACAAGCAGCTCTTAGACATTGTGTAGCTTTGATTTTCTTCTCAGCATCACTGAAGAACGTAAAGGCTGGGAGGTAGGGATTGTCAGGAGGGAGAACGTGGAATCATGATAAGCTGATTCCTATCTTACTGGTTTAACTCTCAGTTTATATCAACCCTAACTATCCAGAGCTTGATGATTGTGGTCTATATCCAGGGCATCAAACACTTGGCCAGGGAGCCCATGCTGCCTCCATCACTCCTGAGTGCAGCTTGATCCAGATTAAAATGTAATTGGGAATATTTAGCAAAATAAATAAAAGTGCCATAAGACATAAATAATATTACATTTTACAACGTAATTGTATTTGTAATATTACAATATGGCACCGCAGTAATTCTCATGTCTGGGTTAGTGGCTCCTCTTTGGTCTAGGTGACCCATTTTTATCGATTTCTTGGGTCCCTCTTGCAGGTTTCCACCCTTTGCTTTGAGCAACACTCATTTGGTGGCATTCATTTGTTTACCTCAAAAATAACTGTCTCCTAATCATTCGTATCTTCCTGATGCCATTATTTAGGCATTTTAAACATAAGCACCTAGTGGGCAGTGAAAACCACGCGTTTCACGTTCTCCACGCTTGTAGAGTGCTATGTACCTCATGGATATCATAAATTCTGCTGGTGATGCTACAGTCCTAAGGCCAGTCCCTGGGTATTCTAAATGAACTTAACTCTAGATCAGGCTGAATCTCTAATCCCAGTTTTGCACATGTCTGCCCTTGGTGGCACAGGGGCCGGAGCAATGGGCTTGGAGTCAAGAAGAATTAAATTTAAATCCTGCCTCTTTCACCTACTGGCTGAATTGCTGTTGTTCTTGTTGAGTCATTTTCAATTGTGTCCAACTCTTCATAACCCAATTTGGGGGTTTTCTTGGCAAAGATACTGAAGTGGTTTGCCATTTCCTTCTCCAGCTCATTTTACAGATGAGGAAACTGGGGCAAACAGGGTTAAGTGACTTGCCCAGGGTCACACAGCTAGTAAGTATCACAAGCCAAATTTGAACTCACGAAGATGAGTCTTCTTGACTCCAAGCCTGGCACTCTGTGCACTATGGAGCCACTCAGCTGCCCTGTATTGACTGAATGACCCTCGGCAAATCACTTAGCCTCTTTCAATCTCAGTGACCCTGCCTCATCTTTAAATCTGTGACCCTGTAACATAGAGGTTGGATTAAAGGGATTTGATGCAGTCAGTCAAACAGGTCAGTGCAAATCCAATCCAATTCCTGGATTAAAAAAACACAAAATGTACAGCATCATATTCATATGCAAATGACAGATGTTTCACTATAATTATCTACTCATGGCAATGCTTATGATTATTCCATACTTCCCTTCTTATTACTTAACTCCATACTGACATAGCCTGGTAATCGCTGACATCCTCTTGCTACAACATTCCAGGCCCTTGTAGGGGCTGTCCTGTGCACCATGTATGTATCAATAAGCAATAGGCCCCCAGAGGAGAAAATGTGGACTAATTTTGTCCCAGGGCATTCATAGGGGTTCAAACTGAATTGTCAAAAATTTCTCCAATGTTGCATCCAGTCTGCCTAAACAGCATGCAAATGGTAAAAGTGGAATTCCTATCTATATGTCATGATGGTGGATGTCCCTAAGAGAAGTCAGAAGAACTGGGTTTGATTCCTGGACTGCTACATAGAAACTGTACAACCCTGGGCAAGCCTGCAAAATGTTCCTTCCTCACTCCTACCTCATAGAATTAATCCTTCATTTCCTTAAAAGTCAGTTCAGGTGTGAAGACTTTTCTGATCCCTCTGGTAGCTGGTATCCCACATGTCACATTACACTGTGTATTTTGTATGTACTTTGGAAATACTTGTACATATCAATGGTCTCTCTCCCAAAAGAAAGTAAGCTGGTTGAGGGGCAGGGATTGTTTTACTTTTGGCTTTGCATTTCCAAAGCTTAGCGCAGTCCCTGGCATGTAGTGTGTGCACACACACACACATACACACACATATATGATATATGTGACATATATGTGATGTGTAGATAGGTAGTATACGTGCTTGTTGGTTGAAGTCACCTCTTTGAGCTCTAAAATGGGGATGATAATATTTGCACTAAATAATACTTGGTTATATCTAAAATGTGGATGATAACATTTGCACGAATAACTCAGTTATATAGTACTTTGAGGATGACAAAGCACTTTCCTCTGTGAAAAGGGTAGGGAATGAATGGTCACTCTGCTTTTGAGAGGATACTGTAGAGGAGAGGTTAAGTAGCCAGTACCCTGTCCATAAGTGACATTACTTTTTCCATCACACTGACTTGCCTTTCTTGAGATCACATACTCGGCAAGTATGGTAGCCAGAAGAACAAGAATACTATAAGTTGTGCAAAGTCAATTGATACAATGATCTTGTCTGTCAATATATATGTAGCACTCTGCTCTTGTAATCCCTTGACTCTGACAAGAGGAAAGAGATATTATTATTCATTATCTCTTCTTTGGGACCATTGTTGATTTTTCACTTATTCAAACTCCTTTTAGGGATCTTTCAATTTACAATGTTGTCACTATGCATAATTTTTCCAGTTCTAGTTTCCTGGTTCTCTGCATCAGTCATACAAATCTTCCCACACTTCTCCAAATTCCTCAATTTAATTTTTCGCTGCATAGTACTGTTCTATTATGGTTAAATACTACAGATTAGTCAGGCATTTCCCAATCAACTGACACTTACTTTGTTTCATGTCTTTTGCTACCATGAAAGTGCTGTTGTGAATACTGGACTTCTGTTTTTGTCTTTGAAGCCCTTTAGGATATATACCCAGTAGTAAGATCACTGGGTTGAAGTATGTGAATACACAAGTCACTTTCCTTGTATAGTTCCAAATTGTTTTCAGAGTCAGTGGAGCACCATCAAAAATATATTAGTGTGCCTGTTTTCCATAGGCCCTACAGTTTTCTTCTATACTTTGCAAATTTTTAGGGTATTAGGGAAACCTCAGAGTTTTTTTAATTTATAATTCCCTTCTGAATGAATTGGAGCACTTTTTTCATATAGTCATTAATATTTTGAAATTCATTTGAAATTATTCATATCCTTTAATCACTCAATCATTGGTAAGTAGCTTTTGACATTTATCACATTTCCATTAGTTTCCCATAGATCTTTTTATCAGTAAAATTAGGTGTAGAGTTTCATGTGCAATCATCTTTTTTACTATTCTACTATGTTATGGAAATGTTTATTTTATTTATTTTTTTTCCCATGAGGCAATTGGGGTTAAGTGACTTGCCCAGAGTCACACAGCAAACGAGTATTATGTGTCTAAGGCCACATTTGAACTCAGGTCCTCCTGACTCCAGGGCAGGCACCGTATCCACTACGCTACCTAGCTGCTCCTGTTTTATTTCTTAAGTTCAGGATAGAAGTTTTTTTTAAAAAAGTTGTAATAGGCATAAAGATTTTTACTTACTTGATGGGCTGAATGGGATCCACACGTAGGGCCTTTTCCCTGAGGGAAAGCTCTTCCCACTTGAAATGGAGTGTCCAGTCAAACCCTAAACCATAGCAAAAAATAATATATGTGTATACACACACAAATACACACACACATGTTTATATATACATGTGTATGTATATATGTGTATAAATGCATACTAAATATTTATATATGTATGTATGTGTGTGTGTATATATATATATATATATATATATGTCCCCCTTAAACTTTGAGATGCATAAGAAACAAACATGTCATCCCCCCATTGACTTCCTTTATGCATTTCCTTTGGAAGTGCTTAAATGCACCCAGTAGTACCTGTAGGGTTTGGTAAGGAAGTGTTCACTTGGCCTATGCAATGGGAAAAATTATTAGCTCTTTTAGAGGCATATTATTTCAAGTTCACAGCCTCCCCCACTAGCCATGTCCTCTTTGAAGCCAGGTTGGATCCATGCAACAAAGAGTCAGACTTGGAGAAATACCTCAGGGGCCGGGTCTTTGAACAAGAGTAAATAAAAGAGGTCAAAGCAATGAGTCACACACATACATAAGTGACATAATGGTATGTTAAAATGAATACAACTGAGATTCCCTGGGGTATTTTCCTGATTTTTTGTGAGTAGGACTGTCAGAGCCCTGATCCCCAACTCTGAATTTAAATGATATTAAAAGGAGGTTTGGGGTAGATTATTTGACCTGGAGATAATTTGGCCTTTCTCAAAAAAAAAACAAAACAAAACAAAACAAAAAAAAACCTTTATCCTATTCCCCTAGCACAGGACTTGGATAATTACTAAGGAGAAAGTAGTATTAGGGCCAGAGGTTCTTAGGAACTAAACTCAGGACCCCAATTATCAGGGAATCCTTACTTCAGCCCCTATTCTCTTTGGTTAGGTTATATTGAGATTCCCAAAACTTCACCCATGCCTTTATGATTCTAAGGTGAAGGGTCAGAACCTACTACCACACTCGGAGCTGGGCATCCAAGTGACGACATCGATAGTTTTTTCTTTCTTTCTTCCCTTACTATATTTTCCTATGATCAATCATTCGGTGACAAGAAAATTTCTTACTGGGGAAAGAAACCAGCCCCACTCACCACCTCTCATGTCCGGGGAAGAAGACACGTAGGCAAAAGTGTCTCGGTTAATGATGTCAATTACTGGACATACCACCCGTGTAGGATCCTGAAAAATAATACACATACCTCTATATTGCTTTATGCCTGACTCACTTTATATGGACACAATCAGAGAGGTAGGTCAATGGAGCTGTGGCATCAGGAAGACAGTAGCTGCTGCCAATAGTCCTAATGAGGGCACCTATTTCTCTTCCAATTTGAGGCTACCTTCAGATGGTACATAAAAGCAGTGGAACCCAAAATCACTGGGCTGATGTTTATTACCAGATGGCCCATTACATCATGGTTGCAGAGCTAACTATATTAGAAGAAGGGGAGCCAGGTTAGACTTCTTTGGTGGAGTACTGAGGTGGTATTTCTGGGCATTTCTCTCTGTGTGTTTCCACGTGTTGTTTGTATTCCTGAAAAAATATTATGTACAAGGCTCTGCTGTAAGCTCCCTAAGATATTGGGCAGAAGACCCAGTAAGGTTAGACAATCACAGAATCTCAGAGTCAGAAAGGACCTCAGAGGCCACCTATAATACACTCAACAAGTGGGAGGCCAGACTTCTGGGAGTCAAGATGGTGGAATAAGCAGTAAATCACTGTAACTTTCCCATATTCACCTCCAAACGACCATAAGATAGCACCCCAAAACAAATCCTGGGACAGAAGAACCAGCAAAAAGACGGGTTGAAACAATCTTTTAGCCCAAGAAACTTGGAAGATCAGCAAGAAAGATCCATCTCACTTGGGTAAAAGGGGGGAATACATTTCAGGAAGGGTCCCAGAAAGCCAGCAGCAAGCCCCACCTCAGCAAACGAGTGGGAGATCCTGAGCCCCAGTGTGGTTGAGCAGGCAAACACCAACACCAGGACCCCAATGTGCCTTAGCATAGTCAGGGAACTGGCAGACTCCAGCTCTGAGAACCACCACATGGTGCAGTGTAGCCCTGGGGAAACAGGCATCCTCCAGCAGCCAGACCTCCCCGTACTTCAGTGTAACCCCAGGGAAATGCAGAAACACCCCATCAGGCCTCAGCACACACCAGATACCACCACTATGACCCCACCTCAGCACCAAGTAAGCTGACAGACCCCTACAAGCCTCTAGCAGTGCCAATCAGCCCTTACCCCACTTCCTCAGCACAGCACCAGACATGAGGATCTCCCATGGGCTGATGGGCAACATCAGCACAAGAACAGGTAAACAGCCAGGGCCTGAAGCCATGGGCACAAGAAGCCTGAGACACTGTCCCCTCCCCCCAGGTGCTGAACTCAAATTTAAAGAAAGGAAAAAAAAACCCCACCTCCCAAAAAAAAAAAAAGATGAGCAAGAAAAGAAAAGAATCTGACCATAGAAAGTTATTATGTTGACAGGGAAGACCAAGACACAAACTCAGAAGAAGACAACAAGGTCAAAACACCTATGGACAAAACCCCAAAGAAAAATGGGAAGTGGTCTCAAGCCCAGAAAGAAATCATGGAAGAGCTCAAAAAGGAGCTTACAAGTCATATAAGAGAGGTAGAAGAAAAAGTGGGAAAAGAAATGAGAGTAGTGCAAGAGAATTATGAAAAAGGAGTCAACAGCTTGGAAAATTGCTTAAAAAGTAGAAATGGCCAAATAGAAAAGGAGATAACAAAAACCCACTGAAGAAAACAACTCCTTAAAGATCACAACTGGCCAAATGGAAAAGAAAGTACAAAAGCTAATTAAGGAAAACAACAACTTAAAAATTAGAATTCGGCTAGTGGAAACTAATGACTTTATGAGACATCAAGAATCAAACAAATTCAAAAGAATGAAAAAATGGAAGAAAATGTAAAATACCTCATGGGAAAAACAACTGACCTGGAAAAAAGATCCAGGAGAGACAATATCAGAATCACTGGACTACCTGAAAGTCATAATAAAAAACAGGACTTTGACAGCATCTTTCAAGAAATTATCAAGGAAAATTGCCCTGATGTCTTGGAACCAGAGGGCAAAATAGGCATTAAAAGAATCCACTAATCACCTCAAGAAAGAGATCCCAAAATAAAAACTCCAAGGAACATTATAGCCAAATTTCAGAACTATAGGTCAAGTAAAAAATACTACAAGTGGCCAGAAAGAAACAATTCAAATATCGGGAAATAATCATAATTCCCCCATCTTCTATGTGTGAAGCTGATTGTTTGAACCTCAGTATAAGACTTGACATTTATCCCTACTGAATTTTGACTCATTAGCTTTGGCCTAATGTTCTAGCTTGTCAATACTTTTTTGAATCAATTGTGACTATCATCCAGTATTTTAGCCATCCCTGGCAGCTTTGTTACCTTAAAATTTTATAGGCAAAACATTCAGGACTGTGGAGTTGAGCTGGAAAAGACCTTAGGGGTCATCTGGTCTAGCCCCTTCATCTTAAAGATGAGGAAACTGAAGCCCAGGGAGGTTAAATTATTTTCCATTGTCACTGAGGTAGTAAGAATCAAAAGCAAGATTTGAACACGGGTCCAATCTCTTCCTATTGTACCACCTTGCCTTTGTCCAAGTCACTGATAAAAAAATGTTAATTAGCATAGGACCAAATATAAATCCATGGGATTCTCCACGAATGACCTCCTCTGAAGTTGATATCAAGCCATTAACAAATTGTGAATAAATAAACTGCTAACTCCCTGGTAGAATCTTTGTTCTACACATTCAATCAATTCTGCACCCACCTATAATAATTATGCTATTGTCTCACTCACATCTCTCCATTTTTTTCCGTAACTCAATTTAATTCAATAAACATTTATTAAACACCTTCTATTTGCAAGGCACTAATTTAGATAGAAAGACAATACAGAAATAGTTCTTTCCTTTAAGGAATTTACATTGTACTGGGAGAGGCACAACAGGTACATAGACAAATAAATTCAAAGTAGGCACACTGTTGTAAAAAAAAAATTCAAGAGGGAGAAAATGAGATATGTGTTAAATACATTCCTATCATCTAAACAAACTATAGCCAAACTCTAAAAGCACTGTGGTGGAATGGAAAATGATGGTCCCAGAGTCAGGAAGACCTGGGTTCAAGTCTCATCTCAGATGCTTACTGTCTACGTGATTCTTGGTAAAGTCACTTAAACTGGGTCTCAATATCCTCATCAGGAAAATGATAGACTGAGTTGATGTCCTCTTATGATCCTAACGGTTCTATATCTATAGCAATCCTGGGATCTACCTCTTTACCAACTGTCAACAAAGGAAAGTAGGTTAATCTGTTCTCAATAAAGCTCTCTGATCACTGCTTCCTTTTCTACATATTCAATAACCATCCCTTTAAAATATGCTCTACTCTTTTGACAAGAAGTGAAGTCAATCTCATTGGCCAATAGTTTCAAAGCTTCTTATTCCCTTCGTTTCATTATGGGGTCAATGTTGACCATGCTCCAATCTACATTACAACTTCTCATTGTCCAAGACCTTTCAGAGACCCTAGATAGTGGCTCAAGGCTCATATCTGTAAGTCATTTTTGTACCATAGGAAGTCATTCATCTGGCTCTGGTGAATTGAACTCATGTGGGGAAGCTGGGTGCTTTCTTACTGCCTTCCTATTTAATATGAGTATCAGTTGCCTATTAGCTATTTTTGTTTTGTCCCTTAGAGTCCAAAGATCATTATCTTTGCAGAGAAAACAGAAGGAAAGTACAAATTGAGCAGCTCTGCTGTTTCTCGCCCACAAAGCAATGTGGTACAGTGGGAAAAAGTGGAAATGGAGTCAGAAAAAATGGAACTGAGTTTGCATCCTGACTTTGCAACTTACTTCCAGCATGATCTCCAACAAGTCACTTAATATCTCTTTGGACCTCATTTCCTCATTTCTAAAATGAAGGGGGCCTAACTGGATGATCTCTAAGGTCCCTTTGAGCCCTGAATCTATAAGCCTATGATCTGTTTTCATGATCCTATTTGTCCTCAGCAGGGCACTTCTCTTTATTTAATTCTCTTTTGTTCCCCAAATAATGCTTAAAAAAAAGCACAACAACCCTGCCAACCCCATCCCCTCATTTTCTTTTCCTGAGCTTTGGTACTTCTGTTCCCACACCATACTATTATATCCATTGTCCATTACCTGCCCTCCTTTCCATCTTCTGTATATTTCTTTTTAAAACGTGTTTTCATTGATCCATTCCCTGTACATGATATAGGAATTATACTACATAAATGCTAACTCACTTCCCTTCCCCTGTGTCACGAGGTCACTGATAACTATGTCCTCAATGCCACACATTCTCATTTCCCCCTTCTCTTTAGATCCCTTGTGGTAGAGTCTGCGGGATCCTGACATCAGGTGCAGGGTGAGCAGATTCTCACAATAATATCGCCCGAGGCATTTCTAACTGGTGCCTTCATAAACTGCACAGGGCAATAACAGCCGGTTCATGCAGCTTGTAGGTACCTGGCACTCTTTAATAGCGTTAAATAGTTTGGGGAATTGGGAGGGAACTAAGCAGGGTAGAGAATGGAAGGAAAGAGAAGGAAGAGGGGACAAACTCTGAGGATCTGACTGTGAATCTCAGTATATGAACCCTGTGGCTTCCACGTACCTCTGTCTTCTCCCAAGATTATCAATGTCAACACACAGGCCTTTCTTCCCCCAGTAAAAAAAGTGGGACATTCCACTGCTCTGATTCTGGCCACTCCTATGTTCCTAGAGGCTAACAGGTCCAGAGATTTCAAGCAGAAGTTGCCATCATGGTCATCTAGGCTAATCTTATTTTACAGATGAAGAAACTGAGGCACAGAGGGGTTAAGTGATTTGCCAAATGTAACTCAAGGAGTAAGTGGCCGGGTCAGGATTTGAGCTTGGGTTCTCTAAATCTGGCACTGTTTTCACTGGGAGCTGTGTAGCCTGGGATGAAAAAGGGGAATATGGGAAGAGCAGAGCTTCTCCCCTTGGTGTTCCTGGCTCTGTTGTAGCTTGTTTTTTTCTGACTTTCAGGATGGAGAAAAGCTTCTGCTTGGTTACTACATAGCTGGGAGAACATTGGTGATGGATCAGTTTTCTGCATATGAACTGCCTCAGGGACA